CCCCAAAACCCCAAAACCCCTCAAATAAATGCTGAAAATAAATATTAATAATTTTTTTAATATTAAATAGCTCGGTGATAGCAATAATATTTTATAAAATCAAGTGTAGAAGATTTTGAGATAACAAATTTAATATCAATCAGTTTAGGAATTCTTTTGGTTCTGCATTATTATCTTTAGGTTGATCAAATGTGATATACTAGATCATGTAGGTTCTGATTCTTTGAGCTTCAAGAGCAATTTCGTTGGAGCTTTTATCCAATGGTTAGACAGGAGGGTTAATAAAGTTATCATCCTTGCCAGTCCATTAAATCTTGTTTCCTTGCATGTAAGAGTATAGCTGATTACCAGTAAGAGTAGTCTCACTAATGATGGTCTATGATGGTGTGACATCAGCTCCATTTGACAATTAGTATATGGCATTTGCTAGATCATCAAGCTTAACATATGGGATTGTAGGATTGCTTCCAAGATCAAATTTATCGGCGATGTTCTCAAGTCTGAGCATAAGACTGTTCTGACTCATTGGGAGCAACTCTACTTTGGTGGTCCTTGGGAGTCCAACCATCTTCAAGTGATTCTCTGACAAGAACTTGCCGCTCATTTTTGGCTGTTTCTTTTCTAGAATTTCCTGCTTCAAATCCTTAAAGTTAAAGAAATACTGAAGAGGTTCATCTTGGTGTAGCTGAGTATACCTCTGCTCACTTTCTTCATGATCTCTGTCAAAGATCTGCAAGTAGTAGCTGTTGATGGTAGTGATGCCATTTCCGTTTTCGTCCACCTCATTCATGCCTTCTCCCATTCCTCTGTGATCATCATAGTATGTTCTACGGTTGTGCATAATCTCAATTCTACCTGTCTTCAATACTGAACATCCCTAAGATCTGGCATTCATAACAGTCATTTAGTGCTTATTTTGTGTGTCTCTAATGGCAACAGCAGTTTGAATAGGGTAATAGTTTGAAGTTATATTATCGAATACTTCCAATTCCCATGATGGTCTGTAATTTAGAACTCTCTTTTGCATTTCTAATCCATTAGCATCAGTGTAGAAAGTCTTGTTGTTATCAATATCAAGAGACTTGAAGTTAACAGTCACTTCCATTCCTTATCCTGTGTTTGGAATAGAATCTAATTTTACATTCCATTCTTGCACTGGATTCAATCTGTATAGTCTAAGTTTGACTGTTCCTGATTGTAGAGTAACAGGGTCATTGAAAGTAATAGTAATCTGTTGGACTACCTTACCTTGATAGTAGAAAATGGTTTAGACATGACTGTATCTGATTGTATCATATGAGAAGAAATCAGTGCTGAACATGTAAACTCCACTTGGGTCCTTGAAATCACCCTAGTAGGATTTCCAGTATCTAAGGTCAAAACCTATTTTATAATTCTATGAGTATAATAGCTTTTAGATCTGGAACACAACGCCATCATAGTCATTGAATTCTGTCTGAGTTATTTTTTCATAGAGATTCGAAACTTAAATTGGGGATTCATTCTATTACTTTACTGTTAGATCTACAGTTGTGTCATATTAGATGTTGACTATTCCAACTGTCATTCCTTGGATAGTGTACTCAACAAAGAGTTGGCAGTTTTTCACATCTTTAGTATAAAATGTTTCTTGATCGCAGATGACATCAGCTGTAGCATCAACAAATTGCTTCTTTCCCCAATCATAGACCTGAACTTTGTATGCCCCATGTGGGACAGCAATTTATGTATAGTTAGTTGGATCAGTTGATGGGTTGAATGCTGCAATATGCATGTTTACTTTCCCATCAGGATCCTTTTTACCTATAGGACACTCGACAAAAGTAGTATTCTCTCTAAAACACCAATCCCATGCATCATCAAATGACACTCCTGTTGATCCTTATAAAATATCCGATAAAACTTAACTAAAGACTGGGTTATTTGCTTGAAGTGCCTTATACATTTTCCAGGCGTAGTTATCTGCAACTGCTTATTTTCCAGTACCAGTGACTGAATCATGGTGCTGTAAGATTCCCATGACATCCATCATCTTGTATTGAGCATTCATCATATCATTAAGTCTTTGTTGAGTAACACTTGTTTCAATCGCATTAAAGCTGTATAACTTAGAAGAGGCATGTAGATTGTGTGATCCTCTTCTTATATAATCTTTATCATTTGATCTGCTAGTGAAGTATCCAGTCCAGAATGAAAACATATCGTCAGAATAAGGGAACATATCATCATACTTGGTGGGCCATTGAACATTTTACTAACTAATAGCATCTAGATATTCTGATGGAGTAGAATATCTTAATTGCATATCTGAAAATTTGGCATTAAATCCTTTGATAAGTCTGTCCATTGAGTAAAAGTTCATCTTGGCATTTGCGTATTGGAAATCGTCCCCCATTACAACGAAAAGATGGCCTGTATTTATATAGTGCTAAGCCTAGTGGACGAGATAGTCATGGAATTGCTAAACTTTTGTATCAAGATTGTAGGAGGAGAGAGTTGGATCATCTACTATACCATCGTCTCCAGAGTATGTATCAAAACTGAATCCACTAGGTGCTGAGTAATGTTGATAGAGAGCATGTGTCAAAATTTGTTTGCTCTTTCCAAAATGGTTGTACATTGGTCTCCATAAGAATTCCATTTCAAGATCTGCAAGTCTTCTGTCTTTGTCTTAATAATCTAGTCTTGCAAAGAACCAAGCATCAAATCCCATATCAGCAAATAATCTTGGGGAAACATTAGAATGTCCAAAGGGATCTATGTGCCAACCAACTCTTGGCTTTACTCCAAATTCCTCAAGTAGGAATTAATGGCCAATAAACATATTGTTTATGAAGTCCTCATAGTGAGGGCAAGCTTCATCAGACATACTCCATCCAGCATTCAAGAACTCTAGTCTTCCCTCCTTGACTAGCTGCTTAACCTTATTCTTGAGATCATCAGTCTAATACTTCCACCACATGGTGAAGAATTTCATTTCAACTAAACTGAATCTTTTGACTGGATCCTCAATCAGTTCATTGATGACTGTACTGATAATCAACTCAACGCCAGCTTTCTAAGTATTGTAATGAGCTCCGCTAAAATACTGTTCAACTGTCTTCAGCCAACCGACATCGTCATGACTATGAGGTACTAAATGAACAATCAATGGACCTCCATTAGGCGTTTTAATTGGCTTAGTTTTGAGTTCTTCAAAGTATTTAGCATCATGATCATGATTAGTGTCCATGTCTTTGGTTATAGGACCTGCTTTAACGAGTCCATTAGCAAGCAGAAGCGATAAAAGAGATAGTTTTATCATTTTATCAAATATGCGAATATCCTTATTTAATTATTTCAAGATCTAGATATGCGCTTTCTTAAATGAATCTCTTATTATCCTTCGAGGGGTTTTGGGGTTTTGGGG